GGATGCTGCTTGTATTAGGGATGCTGCTTGTATTAGGGATGCTGCTTGTATTAGGGATGCGGCATCAATTAGGGATGCGGCATCAATTAGGGATGCTGCTTCAATTAGGGATGCAGCTTCTATTAGTGTTGCTGTCTCTATTAGTGTTGCTGCCTCTATTAGTGTTGCTGCTTCAATTCGGGATCTGGCTTGTGTGAGGGATGCGGCATCACTTAGTGTTGCTGCTTCTATTAGGGATGCGGCATCAATTAGTGTTGCTGCTTCTATTAATTAGGGATGCTGCTTGTATTAGTGATGCAGCTTATCTAAAGGATGCATTATATTCCCTATTTTGAGATTGCAACATATGACTACACATTGGAAAACAATGGAAGTCTATGCATCACTTACATAAGCATCTCAGTTGTAATTAGTAACTGTAATTCTGTCATTTTAAACACATTATGAATTGCTCTTGCAGCCATTATTTGTCGTATAGTCTCCATAATCACATCACCTCCTTTATCAGATCTCACCTCCATTGAACCAAGAAAACGCACAACATAAACTTCAGAGAATGATGTACTGCCAACTATATGGAGAAAAGAGAAAACTATCAACATGATATATACTTCAAATCAGTTTAAAAAACAGAATAATCAAAGGTATCACACATGCTAATAGTTAGTACCACCCTGCATTAAGCAATGTCATTCACAGTTGTGTACACCCAATTATGAAACAGTACATCTCATAACTAATAGCATGACTCTAGAAAGGTCTACTAAACTTGACTTTCAAATACATACTGGTTATTCCCATTCCATAACGATTTAGCTTGGTAGCTGGCAATAAAGCAAGTATAGACCTAAGAATTAATATAAGAAAAACTACCATGATCACTAAGAATTTCGGTTGCAGATTGACTAAATGGATTGATACGTTTTGGTGGTCCTTCCCGCGGTGGTGATCTCATAGTTGGTTGATCTTCACTCGGTGATAACATATCAAACTGTATCGGTATCGATGGTAATGATGTCGCATCCAATGGACTGGGTGGTGGTGTAGCAGGGGCTGGATTAGGTTCGTAACTATCACTACGAGATCTTGTCCTTAATCTTGATTTACCCTTCTCTCTGAGGATTATATTAAATAAATTGAGTTATGATGTAAAACATATCGGTTAAGACAGAAAAGTGGGACACCACTATTACTGAAAAAATTTCACCTAAAATATTGTAGGCACATTTTGAATATTAATAATAGAAGTACATGTACCATATACAATAGGCTGTAGGCTTGAAACTGGCAGGCAACCTTTAATTTCAAAGATTCAAATTCAAGCTGTCATGTACTACCAAAACATTAAAAACAATGGTCCTATAACCAGTAATTTTAACTTCCATACATTTAGAGAACTTGAAAACAACTTCTAGAAAGAATCATGGTTAAAATACATTAACAAAATTAAAGACCTGTACAATATTGATCTTTTGATTGTTTCTAGTAATGTACTCTATCAAAAAACTAAAAACTATTAAACAAACATGTGGATTAATAATATCAAGAGACCAGATGCAAAACTCTTAAAAGTGTTATTAGTCCAGCAAAATACCTACAACTGTTAAATAATAGACAGAATATTAAATTAATGTCTCAATTGAGACTTAGTTGTCACAAACTCCAAAATAAAGTAGGCAGACCTAAAAGACCCAAAATCCCTGCAGAGAACAGGATTTGTGATAAATGTAGGAGTGACAGTATTGAAGATGAAGTTCATTTTATTACAGATTGTGGCTGTTTACCAAGGAAATCCCCACTTTCCAGTCTGAAAACAATATCAACAAGTTTATTATCCTTATTAATACTAACCATCATAAACTAATTAGACATGTAACATTTTCTGAAAGTCTGTTTTGAAAAACGCAAACTGCATTTAATTTTTACTGCCTGATCTTATGTTAATTTAACGTTCTGTTTTTTACTTGTTATCTTTCCTATTATTACTTTCAGCCAAAAATGAATTTGTAATTTCATTAGTGTGTAATAAAATGTTATTAGTAATATTATCATAGATGTTTTTTTAGTAATGCGAGCTTTTCATTCATAATAATAATTTTCATCCAATTATTTTCTTGTTATTCTTGAGCTACAAACTTATTGCAAACCCAATTACAGCAAAAAAGCATTGCAATGATAGTCAAATATATGTACTATTTTTCAGCAGTTAGGTCTTATTGTGGAACAATTTTTCAAGAATTAATAATAGATAAGGACAGTAAATTATTAAGTTTGTAAAAAGACACAATGTCAGTATCAGGGATGCTCAAACACTTACCTTGGTTGTAAGCTTTCATTTCTAGATGAAGGTTGTAATGCTGGATCAGAATGTCTACTTCCTGGTAGTTGTTGTGATACAGGAATACTAGCACTGGATGATGATGGTGGTAATGCTGCCTGTCAATACATAATTCAGCAGTGAAACTAGTGATTCACGAATGAAAAAAAACACTGCCACTCTATAAAGCAACAACAGTATTCCTGATGGTAAATAATTTCTGTGGTAAATTGGTGAAATGAAAAATGGTTATATGTGAATAACACGAGATGATAACCATTCAAAGTACACATTCTACTTTTTGCCTTTAGTTATGATGACCTGTTATATACCTATCATGTCAATCTCCTGACACTATAATAGCATCCCATCTTAGACAAAATCAAAGAAAGCATAGAAAGAACTGTGTGCTGAGAGTATGGAGACTTTTAATTAGCTTTTCAAACAAGAAACTTGGCAGCTAATATTTGTCTGCTATTTGAGATGTACAACATGAAAACAATGTGATCCACATGAATGATTGATTTACAATACTTCTAATTTTATATATGTGGTTTTCAGTCTAATATATTTCAGAGCAGCTCTACCACAAATTCAATTTATATCTGATTTTTTGAGATGCCAGAAATAGGCTAATAATAATTAATAATAATTAAAAGTAATGTTTTTCATTATTAAACTAATCATGTCTGTGATTACTCCAGAACATCTATGAACGAAATCTTAATGAAATATGACGATTATACAATTAGTATGCTTGGATTTCAATCCAAAACTAGTGAACTGTTCCCAGGCACTTATATACCAAGTTTTATTGAAAAGCAATAATTGTTTTTTGAATAAAAACAAACAATTGATCAATTATTTCGCATAGATTTCAACCCCAAACTAACTAGGTCTTAGTATTATTCCAGGGCACATATGTACTAAGTTTCATTATAATGTGATGATTAATTCTTATGCAAATTGGGTATTTATTATGGATGTATATAATCCCAAAACTAATTAGACGCATTGTGTTTTAATGGTTTACATACCAGGATTCATGATAAGTACTTGAAATATTGATGGAAAAGCTGAAAACTGACTAATTATTATTGTAAATCTGATAATTAATATGCACAGATTTAAAACTAAACAGGTCTGCTCATTGTCCTAGAGAACTCTTGTACCAAGTTTCATTGAAATGTAATGATTAGATAACCCCAAAAAATACTAATTATGCAAATTAGGTAATTAATGTGCATGGATTTAGGCAGAGGGTTCTCTGAACCTACCTATTCATATAGTTCATACCCACCATAGATTCTGGTCAGTCAAAATGACTATTTTGAACTGTAGGCATTAATCAGCAATTCTGTCGGTGACTGAGAGATAGAATCTAGGTCAAGGGAAGCCCCATGACCCCAAGATTCTCTTTCCCTTATGTCACAAACCACAAGACCGAGGCCATATGGCAACGCCATTAACGGCTGTACAATCACTCTGGTTCCTTTCTCTCTGCCTTGAGGACTTAGACCAACGCTACGGAAAAAGTGGGGTGGTTGGGGGGGACCAGGAGTCTATGGTGGGTGTGAATAGGCGGGTTCGGAGAACCCTCTGCCTAAATTCACTACGTTCAAAATTCTATTTTGAACTGTAGGCAGAGTCAGATGCCGATAGGTGGCGGGTTTTCCAAGCAAACAGAAAATGATGAAAGTCTATTCCCAGTCCGGGATGAAACAATCTACAATAAACTCAACACCTTAGTTAAGACCCAAAAACGGTCTGATGCCTGTTCTGTCCCCAGAGCAAGAAGCTAAAATGCTGCTACGGTGACAGGGTTCGGTGTGCCGAGAAAGCTAGACCCCAACCCAATTCTGGGGGTAGTAAGCTTTCAAAGTAAAGACCAAAACAGTTCTGCATGAGGGCATAGGCCAAAAAGCGAGCCCTGTGAGCTTCCAGGTAGAGAAATCTGTTCGCATAAAATGCCGAGATTGACTTATTGCCCATGCGCAGAGACCCTTGTGTTCGTTCGGGCTGGGTCAGGAAACCAAGACTGACCCACTACAACGGGACCCAGCCTAAAGAGACCTTCCTCAATGGATTTGGCGTCTGTCAGGTAGTAGTTGATAAAGACGTTCTGCGTTCTCCAGAAGCCTGCCCTCTGTGTTTGCTCTAGTGGGGGGGGGCACCTGACGCTGAGTTGGCAATCGCACAGACCTCATGCACTCATACTTGGTGTCTCTGCAAGCTCTGTGTCAAGGAAGTTAAAGTATTATAGACCTCTAATACAGTTGCAGTAAACCACCTGGTTATGGAAGTTGGGGAGGCCGGCCTATCCGGTGCCCGGTGAACTAGCGGGAAGGGAGGAAAGGCATACACAACTAACCGGTCTAACCTTGGACTGTCCCACAGCCGAAACAGCCTGGATGCTTGTATCAGCCACTCAGTGTTCTGGAGATGGGGCCGCCCTGAAAGGGCGTCTGCCACACTGTTCTTCACCCATGGAAGGTGGTGTGCGTTAGCTCCACATTGTATTCCAGGCACCAAAGGAGGATTTGCTCCGCTAGGACTGGCAACGATTGGAAACGCGTCCCCTCCTCCTTCTTGAAGGAGACCACCGCTGCGTTGCCTGTGCGGAGCAGGACTCTGTGGTCTTGAACTACAGGTAGAAAGCGTGGTAGTGCTAAGCATACTGCCACCAGGGCAGGGCTTCCTTCATTTGGTCCGAGATCAAAACCCGCCTATCTAGTTCCCATAGGAGAGCTCGGCGTTATAAGCGCTAGGCTGATTAGCGCTAAGCAACACGCTTGAAATAAACCAAGCTTACCTCTGTGTCAAAACTCCATGCCCAGGGACACCAATTGCGTGTTGGGTCGAGGTGGGACTTTTCGATTTACTGACGAGCCCAACTGTTGAAGTAAATCCTGTGTTAGCCTGACGTCTTTGGCTATTAACCCCCAGTCCGGGTTGTGTAGTAACCAGTCGTCGAGGTACGAACTGAGGTGTACCAACATTTGGTGAAGCAGCAGCACTACCTGTTTCATCACTCTGGTGAACGCGTAGGGCTCTGTGCATAACCCAAATGGGGGGCACCCAAAATTCAAATACTTGGCCCAGCTGGGCGATTCGAAAGATATGGCAACTCGGTGGGAGCATCGGTATGTGCAGGTACGCCCCGCTTAAGTCCAGCGGGGCTAGCCCGTCAAAACGGTGGATGGAGAGAAGAACCCTGGATGGTGTCTCCATATTGAACCGATCGAGGAGCACGCACTGATTCAGTCTGCCCGCCACTTGTAGATTTTGGAACTACGAACACATTTGGGTAGAAGCCTGGCCTTAGTTCCGGCTGATCTACCCTGTGTATGGCGCCCTTTCCCAGCAAAACTGCTACTTCCTGCCTGATTGCTTCCACCTTGCGGGAGTCCCCTGGCAGTGCCCAATAGGGGAGAAACTGATGGGGAAGATGGAGATTTCAGCGGTATCCTGTAACAGGATGTCACTATCTGGAAAGGTCCAGGGATTGGTCACCCGCTATCCACCAAACTGGACTACACAGATGCAATCTGTGTACGGCAGGGATATGTGGCCATGGATTTGGCAGTTGTGAGGGGGGGGGCTCTCTTCTCCCATGAGGTGAGTTTCCCTAAGGCCTGGAGTAGTCACTAAGGTGTGACCTGGCCACTCGCCGAACACATGCCTGTCCCCCTGGTTGCAGAGGTAAGCGTCAAAAGATGCTTCCTCTGCTGCCAGGGTGGATGACCACCCGAGGAGGGTGGGGAGCCACCACCTGACGCTTTCAGTCGGAGACGCTGAATTGGGGGACGTAACCAATGACTCAATTTGGCAGCGAAAACACATGCGTCTAAGGTCGCGTCTCGTAGCACAGTAGTGGCCCCGGCCAAGGGAGCCAGGTGACACTAGGGGATGTCGCACGTAGATGTGTGGTGGCCCACCAGTAAATGTGTCGCCTGGTCTATGAGGCTGGTGCGTTCTGCCTCTGAGGTCTTCAGAGTGCTGGGTGGGCACAATAATGTGCTCAAGCAGCTCTGCCCTTAGGGCTGGATGGGTCGTCTGTGATTGAGCTGGCGAGAATGCCCATGGAACGCGACTGTTCCCTTTTGCCCGGTTTGCTAAACGGAAATTCTTGGTACCAGGGTCTGGGGAAGGAGCCTTGGGATCCGGTTGGGGGCGTTTTGGTCTCATCTCACACTATGGGGTCTGATCCCGAAACCACACCGACCGGGTAGCGTTTGGTCCAGCGGGAAGTGTTGCCTAAGGTTTTCCCCAGCCGGGGCCTTAAGCGTTATGCCCTCCGCTGACCAACATCCACCCATCAACAACGTTTGCATGCCCTGCGCCCACTCCGCATTCGGACGGACAGGGAGAGACGTGCCGATGGGGTTGCTTTGGACCCCAACGCCCGTAATCCCATAAGCGTTGAAGCAACCTTGGGTGGTCATCTTAGGGTGGGGGTATTTACATCATATCACTAGGATCGATGATACTCCGCATAACCCCAAATGCATGGCTCACTGAGTCATTACGAATGGAAGACTCTGAGGGGCCGCCCGGAGTACCGGCTGTATCCGACGCGAGCGAACTGTGTCTCCTTCTCTCTTCACTTTCGATATGTGAGAGGGAGCGTGTTCGACTGTGCGTCTCATGACAGGGTTGGTTTCCTCTGGGGACGCCCGTGAGTTGGTAAGAAGGGAGTCAAAACCCACAGCGGAGACCGGACACACGGATAAATTCGTTACCGTTGTACCGTTACCGGACGACGAAGCTTGGCTGGATGAAACAAGGGGGGGGGATCAACGAGGGGCCACTGTGGAGACAGCTCACTCCGACGGCGTCTGATCTACCCTGCCTGCCAGGGACGTAATTGCCCCGACAGTTCTAAGACCAGAGCCCTCAACTCGGAGGCAAACCCGGCGCCGTGCGTGCAGGAAGGGTCCACAAAGGGGTCCACAAAGGGACCTGCAACGGGCCCCATAGGAGGAAAGCCTCCAGGGGCACAGCCTTGCTACAGCCGGTAAAATCAGGTAAACCACCGCCTGAAAAAACAGACTGTGAGGATGCCCTCCGATCGGCCAGGGGAGACTGAGAAAAAATATCGGTACCTCCACCATCGGGCCTCCTACTCAACGTCCTGGTACACAAAGCAGCGTGAGGACTTTCCACTCATGCAAAAACCCCGAACCCTGCACGCAGCTACGACAAAAGTATTTTGGATGCGGGTTCTATGCTGGTAAATTCTGAATATAAACCACTGCACAGTCGACTCGAAACACAAGACCAGAAGCGAATTACAGTAATAAAAGGTGCAGCCACGAAACCAACAAGTGGTTACATAGTGGCGTTGGGTTTTAATTTCTTTGTTGTGAAAAAAATATTACACACAAAGGGGAAAACGACACAAGGGTAAAGATGACAAGAAAAACTTATCCTACCAGTAAGAATGTCGAATGCTGCCCAGTGGCAACAACCCAAGCTAGAAACCCGGACAGGAAAAAGCAAAAGAGCCCCTCAGAATCATTCCCGATGAGACAGAGATGAAAGAAGAGTGATAGTACAGCCGTTAATGGCGCTGCAATATGGCCTCGGTCATGTGGTTTGTGACGTAAGGGAAAAGGAATTTTGGGGGTCATGAGGCTAGATTCTAGCCTGACCTAGATTCTATCTCTCCGTCATCGGCAGAATCGCTGATTAATGCCTACAGTTAAAAATAGACTGACCAGAGTCTATGGGGGGGGGGGGGTAATTGACCGTAGTGAATTTGCATCTTTTTTGTTTGAGAGAGAGAGCAAACATTTCATATGTTTTTGGTACTAGAGTACTATTGGGTAAATGACAATATGTACTGGAATTATCTATTTTTTCGTCAGTATAAATTAAACATCTGTTGTGTAAATTATTGTAATTTTTACTCAAATCATACTATTTTCAAAAACGCTGGCATTTGTTAGTTTGGCAAATCATTGTTTAAGTTGTTATTTTGAAAATTTCAAACTTTCTGAAAATCAGCCGGAACTGGAAATGGCTTCATCGACTTGTTTTGGGTCAGCATTTTTTTTGTCCTTTAAAACATCTGTTGTTCAAATTGTCATATAATTTTTACTTAAAAAATAAAACTTTATTGTATCAAATTATCATATTTTTTAGTTGAATGATACTATTTTCAAAAACGTTGGCATGTTTTAGTAAGGCAAATCACTTTTTAAAAGTTGCTATTGAAATTTACAAACTGCAAGAGATTTTAAGCAAGAAAAAAAAAACGAACAGCAATCAATCCAGCTTTTTTAGCTCCACGAATCTGACGACGTTCTGCTTTTCATTTTATAAGCCAGTGCCTGTCAGAGTTGTCAGTTTTTGACGGCCTTTTGAAAGCATGCTACTTAGTGGTTAGTCACCACCCCTGTTTGTTTCACAGATTAGTCATTTACATATCAATATGTCCGACACAAGCTTGCACTGTCACTTTTGAAACGAGCGAGTTTTCATCTGCCATATTTTACTAATTTAAAGTTTGCCCATTCCTTTAATTTACTTCTATCCAATTGCTACTCATCTTTCGTTGCCCTACAAATGTTATAACAAATGTTGATAAACAGGCTTGAAAATCATAGCCGTAACAATGTTTTCTAGGAGTTTATGTTTTTCAAATTATGAGCATATGCTTAGTGTTGTATCAACACCAATTTTGCACAGCTTTAAGGTGACATTGAAATTTGTCTGGGCAAACTATTTCATAGATTATTTTCAACATGTGATAGTTTAGTTGGGAAAATACAACACAATATATTTTATTGGGTCTTTTTGTAGCATTTTAGTTATAATTGGAAGATGAAAATAAGTATTCAAGACATGAATGTCACAGTCCCCGTTATTTAATTATAAAATACTAATGTTAAAATAATACATGGGACATCTGCAAACAATTGAATTAATATCTACTCTGCTTTCATTGACCCGATTCCTAAATCTCAACACAAGCACAACTAAACTATGTCTCATACATGCTCAAGAAACTGCATTCATAAATCTGAGTAAACCTTGATGTACATGTACCTTTAATAACAATGACTTCTTTGTTAATTCAGGTCTTTTGAATTACCAGGACCTGGGTTTGTTTCCTTATCACCACTATAATTCCCATCAAAATGTAGCCCTAACACCCCTCAACATTTTCCACTGAGATTGGTAATGGTATGACCCATCTGACCAGGTCATGACATCACTAAAAACCCTAGCTTTACAATCTAAGCTAATTATTTATTCTGAGCATGCTCAGTTGCTCTATCAGTGCAGTAGGGAGAGGTAATTTTGGATGAAAATCTTGAAAAAAGACCCACTTAGGATTTTCAGATCTGGAAAAAAAATTACGTGCATACTCGGCAGAGACTTGTTCATCAACCTGCCAAGTTTCATCGATGTCTGCTGCAGAATTTTTGAGAAAATGTTGGAGACAGAAAATGGACATTGACAAAACGCGTTTTAGAAAGTCCCCTTCTCAGGCTGCGCCTGAACAGGGACTAATAATACTCTCGCTACCTTAAGGTAGAGATGCAGTTTACCTGACAGGTATTTTAATTAGTTAATTAGGAAACCAAGATGACCTCCCTTGTTCACAAAACTATATATTTTCGGAAAGCTTATTGTATGAATTTTAAAGTTTTGTTAGTATTTTATTTTTATGGACACTGTAGTTTGAAATATGCACAAAAATGTGCTCTTTTGGTCAAAAGTGATTTAAAAAAAATTAGCTTATAAACCATGCTTCTGTTGCCTGTCAAAATTGGTTTATGGGT